TAATTATGTAATAACAAAAATTACGACATTAATAAAGATTATGAGACACGTCTCACCTTAACAAAAAAAAAAAAAAATATTACTATTACTATTATTACCATTATTAATTACTAACTATTATTTCCAATCAACTATTAAAAAAGGTATCTCATCAATATGTTTATATACCTTGAATTGTAACTTGACTATTTTAAAAAGTATTATTATATTTTAAAAAAATAGAATTATTAAAGTGACATATCTATTAGATATTTTTTGTATTATAATTTTTTTTTCAAATATAAAGATTCTAATAATATATAAATTTTATTAAGTAATTTATATTCAATTATATAACTACAAGATTTATTTAAATTAACTTACATCTCCACCTATAACATTATCCAGTTATATAAGTTTATTACTATTGAGATGAATCCATATATTGGAGTAGAATCTTTAGAAAATAGAAATGTTATTATTTACTTAAAACTATCTTATCTAATCTAGATCTTAATAATTGTTATTGAAAGTATATATCTTTTCTGATTGATTAAAACACCCAAATAACCTGTTTAATTTTTTATCTGAAACCTTGAAGAAAATACTGTACATGTTGTTACTATTTGTAGTTTCGGATTTTTTTTTCATAAAGTTTTCTTCTTTTAAACAAATATTGAATTGAGATAGTCTCAAGCTAGGGTATTTTTTGTATTATAAAGTCTGTATCAAATAATTATTTCAATTATATTAAGAATTTATGAATTTAAACAATATATACAATATAATATAGTTGTATTTGAATAATCTAGATTAAATAATTTAAAATTAATAACAAATTTTTATTCTTTAGAAAATTTCATTTAAAATATATTATTACCAATTAATGTAAATTTATATACTGAATTTAAATAAAGATATGATTGAATTTGCAGTTAGTATATAAATATTAATATATATAAGACTGTTTAAATATATAATATGATTATAATATCAAAAAATTATAATATCAATGCCTTTATCTTAATATATATACAGTATATATTAGTTGTTTGTAAATATGATTATTGTAATATATCAATGCTTAATGAAAGCTAATATATGAAATATCACAGCACAATCAAATTTTAAAATTTTAGTCATTTCAAGACATCCTGTAACCCAATTAATTAAGTTTATAAACTTAAGAATCACATAAATACAACTGTTTTTAATCTATTTAAAGTCAAAAGTTTTAATTAGATTCCGGAACATTTGTTTTAACAATCATTCTATTAAATTATTAACCAATCTAATACAAAATTTTATTTTCCTTGATTAAAAATATGTAATTCATTTCCATCTTTTTTGTCCATATTGTTGTTGATAACCTCCGCCTTGTTGGCCATTCCAACGTTGACCTCCCTGTTGCTGTGCCCCGTGTCGTGTAAAACCTCTCCCACCAGGTCCTGCACCTTGTTGCTGCTGTTGTTGTGTCATCCAATGGGGACGTTGTTGTTGATCACTGTTAGTATATCCTCCTTGATTTTGTGTAGGACCTTGCTGATGATAGGGAGGTCTTTGTTGAAATTGTTGCGATTGCGAAAGTGAAGCATTGGTCAATGGTCTCTGCTGACCGAAATTTTGACGAGGTGCGCCTCCTGGCTGACTTCTATTAAGACCTGGAGGTGAAGAATTTAAATTTAAATTTAAACCAGGTGGTATTTGATTCATAGATTGATTATTATTCAATAATCCAAGTCCAGGTAACTCATCTACTTTGATGTCGTTAGTGGATGATACATATGAAATATCAGTAACATCAAAGATTTTCGGTGGTGTAAGTGGTTCTTGTTTTTGGTCAGGTTGCGACGATTGCGATAGTTGCATTAGATCCGGTCTTACTGAATAGGGATTCATGGGCACTGGTAGGAATCCACTCATCAAACCACCATTACTGAATGTTAGGCCAGGAACAAAGTCATCATCTGATAAACGAATAAATGCTTAGTTACAAATTATGAAGGGTCATGAAGAAATTCAATAAGAACACATGCCATCTTCACTGTCAACATCTTTCAATCCAAGTTCTTCGGCTCTCTGTCTACCAACATGGTACTTGTCTTGTACCGTATCACCAGGTCGCGCTCTTGTCCAAAATCTTGTCGAATGATCATTCGAACCAGAAACTAATATGTGACCAATTGGATGCCAATCAAGTGACCAAACATTTTGATCATGAGCAAATTCAACCGCCTCTACTAAAGAATCTTGTCTGATTGACCAAGGGTAAATTCTTAGTATAGTTCTAGAACGGATCTAAAATATAACGTAATAACAAACACATGCTTACCCAACAATCCAGAACATCAAGCACCCATCTGAACCACCCGTTACCATTAGTCTTTCATGGAAAGGATGCCATGATATTGCTGTCGGGACTAATATTCAACATTCACTTGTTGAAGAATACTTTTTCATTTAAAAAAAACCCCCAATTTATTGAAGAAAAGAGGTACTCACAACAAACTTCCTTATTATGCCCACGAAAAGTCTGTAAATCTTTCATCATCCTAATATCATATACTTTAACTAATTGATCTCTGGCAGCAGTTCCTAACCAATTCCCATTTCTATTCCATTGTAAACCAAGGATTGTGTTTTTGTGTCCATGCCTATGTGGTTAAGATCTATTTCTTAATATTCTAATTCCTTATAAAATATAAGAGAAATCATAATAACAATTACATACAGAGTATCCACATTCTTTCCGGACTTGGGATCCCAAAATTTGATTAAATTGTCTTTAGACCCAGATGCTAGAAGTGATTTGTGCGGATGCCAGTCAACCGCCTTGACATCCCATCCATGCCCTAAAAAAAAATCGGATTTGTAATTGTATTAAACTAATGTAATTGATCAAAGAATCTTTCTACTTAAACTTAAATTCAACCAACCAGATAATGCTTTTTCTTCGATGCCTTCGTTAAAATCCCAGATCTTGATGGTTCCATCATCGGAACAAGTGGCGAATTTCGTATCGGTAGGAGAAAAACTAATTTCGTAATATATACGGTACATAAGTTATTATTACAATTGCAAAAAAAAAAAAATAATAAATTTCTTAAGATTACGCACGATAGATCTCGAATTGCTTCTTTATGACCTTCAAACATCTTCAAATTATTCATGTTGGATTGCCAGTATTTTATAATACCTTTATGATCAGCTGTTACCATCCAATTATCGTTATGAGACCATTTCATCGCTCGTACTGCCGATTCATGCGCCTTATGACATTAACCGAATAGGTATCACAAGACCAACAAATATCAAGAAAATATATTGGGGAAATGAGAATATAAAAAGTAAATCCATGTTCTGTTTCATTTTTAACATTGGCACCAGGAAATTCGCGAAAAGTGATTGATATATGCTACTTAAATGTCGATACTCGTTTTTTATTAATTACAAGGAGATTGAGGGGTATAATACGTAAAGTTCAAGTATGTGGTGAAAAAATACTGCCAATACTCATGAGAATTGTGAAATGTGGTGTTATTTGCATTTAACACGAGATTGCATTAAATCCATCTTTTATTTGTTTTTATTCTTTTAAAATTACATCAAGGTAAGAAAATATGTAATACTTATGCTATGATATTATTTTTATATTCCGAACTCAATTTTTGGAATAATTGTGAAAACTCCGTAACAAAAAAGGTCAAGAGAAATTTATGCGTACCTGTAATATTGTTTCGAAATTAAACGTTAATCCATTCCATAATGTGAATTCTCCGCTAGACAGTCCTGTAATAAGTCTCCTGCCCTCAGGTGTCCACTTTGAATATTATCAAAACAAAGATAATAAATAATTTATATTTTCCATGGGAAGATCGATAAGAGGCACGCAAATATAATTACCCGAACCACATTAACAGGATATCGATTTTTGTTTGTCGAAGTATGTACATATTTTGTAGCGATTGCATTAACCGGATTGTGTAAATACGCTGAAGGTGGAAGAAGCTAAAATTTTTTATTTTGAATTTGGTAAGAAAACATCAACCAAAAAGATTTGAATAAATAGAAATTTACAGAATATACTTACATCTATAATGAAATTCGGTTTAGGTCGCAGAAATTTCATGTCTCTATGATCCCTCATCCATATGCGATCCTAAATAATGGATATCCGCTCGTTAGATTAACTCTCATAAAAATACGCGTTGAAAAAACTTTGTTGAAGCTTGCCTGCAAAAATTTGCCAATTGAACAGTTAAAATCAACTGTTCTTCTCTGTATTGCTTTCCTCATTCTTTTTCCATCAAAAACTGCTCTTTGTGCACTGTTATTGTTATTGTAGCCAGCCCCATGTCGGATCCCATATGATTTTCTAAGGGGGTATCCACCACTATTTCTATTATCACTTTGCGCAATGTTTGTTTGTCCAGCTCCCGAGCCACTTCCTAATAACGGTATTGTAATAGGTCCAGAACTATTAATGTTGTTATCACTTACGCTATTTCCATTTGTTTCTTCGACTTCCATAGTTTCCTCGTTCAATGCTGACTGTGTTGCATAAGAAAAACTCCCAGGTTTTTGCACTTCCGAAGCCTGTTGTGTTTCTTCCCATGAGTTTGAAGCTAAAGGTACGGTTGTTGTCATATTTCTCTAGATTCGGATCCTCAAATGAAGACTTATCGTTATAGGCAAGGCAAAACCTATGCAGCAACGATGATTTAATGGGAAAATAAATGAACAGTGTAACATATAAAACAGTTGACTAATATTGGAAAAAAATTTTTAAAACTAATTAAATTGATGTTTTTAAATTACAATATATAAACTATTTTAATTAAATAATAAAAATAAATTAAGGAAAAAACCATTTTTAATATATACAGTGTGGTGCAAAAAAAACCAGAATTATATATTTGGTTATAATTCAATAGTTAATTAATAAAATTATATAAAACTTTACAAATAAGTTCTTTAATATCTTAACAATAAGTTTGTTATAAGTCATATATATAAATATAATAATAATATTTTTTTAATTTTAATTTTTAATATATTAACAGTTGAAAAAAAATTAATTTACAATTTTTTTAATATGTTTTATAATAAAAAACTGTTTGAAAAATAATTAAAAATTTTTAATTCTATTTTAATTTTAAATATTTTTATAATAAAAAAAATTTTTTTATATTCTTAAATATTATAAATATTCTTATATAAAATTATTTTATTAATTAATTTAATAAAAATTAATAATAATAATAATAATAATAATAAACTCTTATTTATTCACCACTGATTTTTTAAAAATTTTCTTGAAAAAAACATTTTTCTCTTCAATATGTCAACTATGCTATAAGCTCAAGGATATAAAGATTTTAAGGATTACTATTGCATCAAGATAAGACCTCTAATCAAAGATCAAGCAAATTTGAAAGTCTTGTTTATTCTTTAATTGTATAAGAAAAAACCTGTGACAATTCTTTTTTTTTATTACTATTATAATAATTATTCTTCTTATTATCCTTAATATTATTAATACTATCCTAAAAATATATTCAAGTAAAGTTTTGGATTTTTCTATTTGTCTTATTCAAATCCTCTCAAATAATTTTAATATGATATACTTTGTTATATCATTTCAACAATATTAAAAATTTCTCAAAATTAAAAATCAAAACCAGCTCAATCTTTCCAAATGATCTATATAATCTCAATGACCAATTCAATTCTGATACCTCAAATTAATAAAAACCAAGCCAGTATCAACCTGTTAGAAACAATAACAACAACAATATTATATAAAGACATATCTAAAACTTACCAAATTAAGACTAATCTTTTAAAGCTTCTTTATATCACCAAAAAAATATTTCTACTTGTATTAACTTAGCTGTTTATAAATAAATATAAGTTATTTATGAATCACTTTTGGTGTGACACTACCTACTTGATGCAATGTTGTATCAAAAACTATATACACAATAGACTAATATTAATTTTAATAGATACTTAATGTAATAGTTATAAACTCTTGTTTAATAAAAGTTTTATATTTTATACTTATTTGCAATATTAAAAAAAAAAAATTAAAATAAAAATAAAAATTAATAATAATAATTTTTAAAAATTACAATAAAGAAATATTTTTTTTGATACTTTTTTAAAAAAAATTTTTTTATAGTAATTTTAAGCAAGAAAAAATGATTTATATTCTTTATTGCAAGTAAGCCTCAGCTCAAGAACTTAAGAATCTCCAATACAACTAATGCAGTGGGATGGAACCTCTGGTCAAAGTTTACTCAAGTTTGAAAATCTTGCTTATCTTTCAGTTATATAAGAAAAGATCCATAACAGTTCTCTTTTCTTTTGTTTTCTTACACTCTTTCTTCTTTTTACTATATTACAAAAACCATTTACATCAATATCATTACACTCATTAAGTTAAACACTTTTCAAAAAACACACTCAAACAAAGTTGTTGGGTCTATTGTTTGTTTTAATACAATCTTTACATATAACTTTATCATAATATTATTTATTGTGCCATCCTAAAATTTTCAAAAAACTGAAATCAGTTTACACCTTTTAGATAATCAATATCCTATAATTATCCAATCAGATTTTACATAAAAATCAAAACAAAAACTGAATGTGTTCAAACTAGTTTTATATTATAACAACAACTATAATAACAAGCAATGTTACATATACTCTCATATCCATAGTAACCAAAGAGTTGAAGAAATAAGATCATATGCTTGTCCAGAGGCTTTTTTGGAAAAATAATTGGATTTCTACTTATAGATTTTATAGTTTATTTGACTTAGTTTTAGTTTTAGTTATATTTGTTATTTTTTTTTCATTTACTTTATACTTCAAAAATCAAAAAATTTTGCAAAATTTTGTTAAGTAAATAGGCATAGCTGCTACTTCACTATCTAATATTTTAGTATTGCTTTTGAAATTTTTTATAATATTAGTTAGATAGTAATCAAGTAAGCAAGTTAACATTTAACTTATTATATACAATATGTATTCAAGAGATGTTTTTTTCTTAATGTATACATTCATATACAATAATAAATAAGAGATGATATTTATCTATTGGAAAAAAACCCCAAAAAATAAATTAAATTAAATTAACAAAAAATTATATGGTTTTTTATTTTTATCTTAAAAACAAATTTATAAAGTTTTATAATATTTAAATAACTTTATATTGATTTATTAATAAAAATATAGGTCTAAAAAAATTTTGGTTTTTTTTATATCATACTGTATTATTTATAAAAAAATTTTTAAAAATTTTAATAAAATAAAAAAATATACTTTTTAATTAAAAATTTAGAACTATATATATAATCATATTGTTGATCTTTATTATATATAATAATGCTATTTGCAATTAAATACAACTTTCAACTAAATACAATTCTTAATAAAATACAATTCTCAATTAAGTAAATACAATTCCTAATTACAGTACTGGTTATTAGTAGCCTTATACTCTTAAAAAATTCAAATTTAATTAATTGTTTTAAAAATTTTAAAACAATTGAATCAAATTTGAATTTTTAAAAAGTATAAGATTACTTATGACTAGTATTATATACTGTTATTTTTGTTAATAAAATAAAAACAAATAAAATAAAAAATATATTTGTTTTTTATTTAATTACAAGTAAAACAAAAAACAAAACAAATTGAACAAATATATTATTTTTTTTAATTTCTTTAATAAAAGCTATCTATTATTTTTTTCAAAAATTTTCTAATAATATAATACTTATATTATTAATCATATCAAATAATATCTAATTATTGTTAAACATATTTAATAACTGTATTAAACAATAATCCATAATAATAAAAGTTTGTAATTTTCTTAAGAAAATTTTTTCTAAAAAATCTGAAATACTAATTATTAGATCTAAAACTTTCTTATTCAAATTTTTATTTTTATTTTTATTTTTTTAAGATTTAGATTAATTATTATTACATTGAATTTAAAATAAATTATTTATTACTTGATCAATATTAAAAGATTTTAAGAATTTTTTTTTTCATAAATAAGGCTTGAATTTGAATAGCAATTTTGATTTCTTTTTTATTACTTGTACATTAAATTATTTATTCTCTTAGATATTTATATGCTAATTCAAATTTATATAAGTGCTTTAAGGTCATCCTTTGAAATATTTCATAATAATAGATCATAATATATAACTTGTAAATAGATTAGTAATATGTGCTTATCAATAATAAGAAAATTAAAATTTGTTTTTTTCTTGCATTAGGTATTTTTGAAAAATAATCTTTTAAAAGAAATTAAATCTTAGAACTTTTAAAACTTCAGGTGAACATTTAAGAAAAGCTATTTAATTCTAAAGTTTTAAACCTTTGATTTCTAAATTTAAAGATAAATATGTTTCTTAATATGAATTAAAATTAAAATATTATTAATCTGAGAAGAATCAAATTGAATTAGTACAAATTGATAAATAGAAGAAAGATTCTTTATATATTTAAGTACATTTTTATAATATTCAGATTTTTTAATTTCGGAATTTTGATTAATAAAAGAAGCAGTTATTAAAAACCCTATTTATATTCAAAAAATTTATGATACAATTATAAAATTCTTAATTTGTTGCCAATTAATAGTCCATATTTTTTTATATTTTGAAAAATTTGCAAAGAAACTAAATAGTGAATAGAATTCTCTTTCTGCATATTGTTTTGAACTTATTCTCTCAAATTCAGAAAGTTGATTTTTTATAAGAGATCTTTTAACTGCAATAGAATTAATAGGTTCAAGTGTAATAATACCTTCATTATTTTTAAGGCTTGCTATTTTTTTAATTGAATTTATGTTAATTTTATTTAGATTATAGTTACTATTATTAAAGGTAACAAAAATAAGAATAATAGTAAAATAAATGATTTTAGGTATAATATTTTCAACTATTCTTTTAAATTATAGAAAATTATTTAAAAGTAAAATTGATTTTAATAATATTTTTATATTACTTAAGAAAAAAAAAAGAAATAAATTAATTAATATATAAATACAGTATATATAATTTAAATTTTATAATCTTATATTAATATTGTCATTTTAAGATTTATAACTTGTCTTTCTTATCTTTCTTATACTCATTTTTTTTATTATTTACCTTCTTTTTCAGAATATAAATCTTTTTTTTTTTTTGCCTAGATAGTAATAAAATAAACTTGTATTTTAGTAATAATAATTAGAAATTAAGGGTTATTAAAAAAAACTTTCTCTCAACCGGCATCTGAGTACTCACGAAGAATGGTCAAAGTCAACTTTTCCTCATTATCTCAAAGAATAAATCGGTACA